CATTGTATCCAAAGGCAGCAGAATATAAATTTCTCTCAGGTACACATGGAACATTCTCCAGAATAGATCACGTGTTAAGTCACACAACAAGTCTCAATAAATTTAAGACTGAAATCATATTCAGTATCTTTTGCCAACCACAATGGTATAAAACTAGGAATCAAATCAACTATAGGAAGAAAACTGGACAATTTGTAAATACATATAGATTAAACAACATGTTACTGAAAAACTACTGGGTCATAAAGAAAATCAAAGGAGAAGTCAAAAAAAAAAACCTGGAAACAAATGAAAACAGAAATATAACAACCCAAAATGCATGGAATTCAAAGCAGTTCTAGAGGGAGGTAGCAATACCAGCCTATCTTAAATAAGAGAAATATTAAATAAATAATTTAACTGTATCTTAAGGAATGAGAAAAAGAAGAGCAAATGAAGCCCGAAGTTATAGAAAGATAATAAAGATCAAAACATAATGAAATAGAGACTAAAATGACAATAGAAATGATCAATGAAACTGAGTCAGTTTTGAAAAAACAAGCAAAATTGGCAAGCCTTTGAGACTTATCAAGAAAAAAAGAAAGCAAAAATAAAATCAGAAATGAAATACATGTTACAACTGACAACCAGAAATACAAAGGACCCTAAAAGACTACGATGAACAGTTATATACCAGCAAATAGGACAACCTAGAAGAAGCAAATTCCTAGAAATATACAATCTTCAAGGACTAAATCATGAAGAAACAGAAAATCTGAATAGAAAAATACTAGTTCAGGAGGTTGGATCAGTAACCAAAAATCCTCTCAAAAAACGAAAGTTGAGGAAAGATGGATTCACTGTGAATTCTACCAAATATTCAAAGAAGAGTTAATGCCTATCCTTCTCAAACTCTCCCCCAAAAAACTGGAGGGAATGCTTCCCAACTCATTGTATGAGGCCAGCATTACTCTGATATCAAAACCCGACAAGGACACCACAAAAAGTAAATTACGGACCAATATCTCTGATGAACATAGACACAAAAATCCTGAACAGAATATTAGCACAGCAAATCCAACATTATATTGAAAGGATCATATACCATGATCAAGTGGAATTTATACTAGGGGATATACAATGGTTCAACATCCTCAAATCAGTCAATGTGACACACCACATTAGCAAACAATAAATATCATGTGATCATCTCAATAAATGCAGAGAAAATTTGACAAAATTCAACATCCATCTATGATAAACTTTCAACAAAGTGGGTACAGATGGAACTTACTCATTGCAATAATAACCATATATGACAAACTGACAGCAAATATCATATTCAATGGTGAAAAGTTCAAATCTTTTCCTGTAATATCAGGAATAAGACAAGAATGCTCTCTATCCCCATTTTCACTCAATATAGTATTGGAAGTCCTAGCAATTAGGAAAGAAAAAGAAAGACATAAAAATTGGAAAAGAAAAAATAACACTGTCACTATTTGCAGATGACATGATACTATATACAGAAGACTCTACAAACTCCACCAAAAAATTGCTAGAACTAATAAACAATTTTAGTAAACTTGCAGGATACTAAATAAATATATAAAAATCCATTGTATTCCTATATACTAATAATGAACTATCATCAGGAGGAAAAATCAAGAAAGTAATCAAACTTATAATAGCATCAAAAAGAATAAAATATCTAGGAATAAATTTAACCAAGGAGGTGAAAGACCTGTACATTGAAAATTATAAGACTTTGAAAGAAATTGAGGAAGGCACAAACAAATGGAAAGGCATTCTATGCCATGGATGATATTGTTAAAATGTCCCTACTACCCAAAACAGTCTACAGAGTCAATGCAATTCCTATCAAAGTACCAGTGATATTTTTCACAGAACTAGAGAAATAATTCTCAAATTTGTATGGAAACACAAAACAAAACAAAATTGGAAAAGGTGAAATGGGAAGCACAAGCGTAAGAGGACAAAGGGGAAGAGAGCAGATCATATATTTATAAAACTATTGACTGTTTAAGATAATGAAGAAAGGAGAATACAAGACTGCAGAAGAAAAGTTGCTCAGATTTCTTAGATTAAGTAACTTCAGTCAACTGCGAATCACATAAGCATGTTGAGATCACCTTTCCTCAAGGGTGTGATACTCAGAAGTGGACTTTAACACTAAATAAGAGCACATAGGTGAGACACTGTGGGACATGGAAATGACACCACAGGTAACCAGTTTGGATCTTTTCTCTCTGTACACTCAGACTTAAATTTGATGAAAATGGCAGTTTGCTTGATTCTCCACTATGATCTCATTTTTGAGCCACAATGGCGCTTTTTGGAATGACTACCATAGGCTTCCCTCTGTCATATTATCAGATAAGATTAATTTGCTTAAAGGAAGAGACTTAAAAATATTGATTTTGGGAAATCTTGTGAAGTCTACGACATTTCTCAGTTTAGCAAGATCAATTTTTATTCCAAAGTTTCTAAAGAAAACCTCTTAACACTTTACATATTTTAAATAGATCATTTACATTCTGGTACTTAATGACATCTTTGTTTTAAATTTAGTTCTCTAATGTCTCCAAACTCATTGGACTCATAAGAAAGAGCACCAATCACTCTTCAGGGTTTGTTTAAATGGCCTTAAATCCATCAGATAATCCAACAGTCCTGATAATGAGTAAGGTGCAATGGCCCCAAGGTGTGCCTGGGCCCTTGCTTAGAGCCCTGTAGAGTAACCTGTGCCTTTTGTGTTTTTCCAAGCAAGAGAGAGGTTAAGAGGCTACTAGTATCTGGTCTCTGGGATGATTTGAAACCTATGGTACAAATACTGAATACAAACAACTAAGAAATCATTAGGCCACTTGTTTAAGCAATAGAAGAATAGGGGACAGTGGTGTTAAGTAATGGATTTGATATTCAGAGTTGGACTTCTTCGAGGCTCCGGGCCTTCACCTGTACAGCTCTCCATGGGCCTCTGCATGCCCACCCCATCATTCTTCTCTACCCACAACCAGGGCATCCCTGAAGCAGGGCTCTCCTTCCAGATTTCTGAACCGCACAAGTTACATGAGGGACAACAGTTCTATCCCTACAAGGATGACCTGGTTGTGATTTTGATTTACTTAATCTACATCCAGGGTTTGTACTGCCTAGAAGAGGTAAACCAGCACTACTTAGTGTCCATGTGATTGTGGATGTCATTGGATGCCCTGGGGACTCAGTTGTTTGTTCTTTACTTTCTGTGAAATAGGGTGATTGGGAGGACTTGATGACATCACGTGTGAAAGGGCTTTATAAGTTGTAACATGCTATATCAAGAGGTCAATGTCAGGCCCATCTCTAAGTTGTGTGGGGTCTGAGGCAAGAGCACTAATAAAGACCACCTACCATAAGTCTCAATCTTTAAACGTTATGAAATTCTTAAGCAAAAAGTTTAATCTTTCTCCCTTCATAAATAACTGGAAGGGGTGGTTTAAATTTAGAGGTTTTGCACTCCTTGGAGTTCTGTGCTGGAACATGATTCCTTCCCACACCTCTCCTCTTTTCTTCCTGCCCTGCCCCTGTCCTGCCACAAAGGACATGATGTGGACAACTTAGCTCACTGGTTCAAGCTCCCTCGACCTCCCCTCCAAGCAGCTGCTTCTTAGCTCGCCCCAGGGCCGAGGGGTGTGCCAGGACCCGGAGCGGGAACCAAGAGTGGTTCTGTTCATGACGCTTATGATGAATTATGGGGCTTCTCCTGTCCTTTTTTTCCTTTTCTTTTCTTTTCCCTTTATTTTCCTTCTCTTCTTTTTTCCTCTCTTCTCTTCTCCACTCCTCTCCTCTCTCCTTTCATTTTCTTTTTTCTCTACTTTTCTTTTCCCTTTCCTTTAATAGTAAGCTACATTTGCAAATGCCAAAAAGCCAGGGCCATCAGTCTGAATTCTAAGAAGTCAATTTATTGAGACAATTATCCTTATAACATTTTCCTAGCATAGGTGACCATACACCAAAAATATTTAATGGCTGAAGAATGAATTTTGTCTTTGTGACTTTATTTTTTTATATGTGTGAAATTCCAAAAACAAGTTCACATCCTGTGACCCTTTCCTTTTTTCCCCAGCTTGTTTCTGTTTCAAATGAGCTGCAGTTGAGTTAATACAATTGAGACTTGTTATAGTGAAAAATACTATGCACTGATGTGTGGGTAATAGTACTATTGCTATTAATTATTATGTTTAGTTAATAAAGTGCCCTGAAAATACACACAAGGTTTTGGGGATGTGATTTTAAATCTACATGGAGACTGCTTATTCCTTATCAAATATTTAAGTGGCTTCCTCTCATCTGTGTGATGGTTTAAGATCCAAAAGGTACAAGAAGGCATTAATGTAGGAAAGTATTGAACTGATTCAACTGAACCTTTGACAACTACAGAGGGAAGTCTCATCAGAGTTAGCAAGAGTGGGAGGCTGGTTTTCATCTGGAGTCACAACTTAGAAAATGAAAAAACCATTTGGAATTGCTGCTTTTAGATATTCTGCCTCAGTAATAGCGGTCCCCTGCTTACCTACATGGTATCCTAATGCTCACTATAAAAATAAGATCTATTTTGGAATAGCACAGAACATGACAGGATTTGCAAGGCCGTGTATAGAAGCCTGGTGGCAAATTCATAGCTATGACCCCACTGGATGGGCGTGGAGCACTGTCGGGTCTAAGAACGAGCATCAGGGAGCCATGCTCACCCAGGATTAGAGGGAATCTTAGGCGATAGCCACTGGATATCCAGTCAATGATTTTCAAAGGAAAAGGCTTGCGGTACCTCTCACCAAATACTGTCGTCTAGCCTCATGGGAGTCAGGAAATGCTGACATAAAACCAGAGACCATTTAAAGGGTTACCTACCCAGGATCGCCCCCTACTGATTGAATCTAGAAATTGACCAATGGAGCTTACACCATTAAGCTATTGGTTTTGATAATCTATTAATTCAATTCATCTTTTCTGTTCAGGACTTTGGGAACCAAGATGAACATTTTGATGCCACTGCTTTGCAACAGGTAACTTGTCACCAAGGACCTCTCATGACACCAATAATAATAGCAACTAATATTTAGAGAGTAATTATTGTGATGATCCCTTTTTTTTATTTCAAAATTTTTAATTCTGGTAAAATACATGTAACAAAATTCACCATCGACAGCATTAAGTACATTCCCATATTGTGCTCTGTCACCACCATTCATCCATAGAACTCTTCATCTTGCAAACCTCAAGTTCTGTATATAGTAAACCATAACTGCCCATTCCCCCCTCCCCTCAGCCCCTGGCAACCACCATTCGCCTTTCTAGGAAGTTGACTTCTTCAGGAACCTCATATAATTGGAATCATACAGTATTTGTCCTTTTGTGACTGGCTTATTTCACCCAGCCCAATGTCCTTCAGGTCCATGTACATTGTGTGCTGATGTAATCTACAAAATTCTTAGTAAGGCCTTTGGACTTCTACAAGACTCAGAATGTAGATTTGAACTGGTCTTCTGTAGACCCATCTATTTTACACTTATTAATGAAGAGAAAGAAAAGGGTGACAAGTTGGCTGACTTCTAGAAGGCAATAAAACAGAGTTCTGGGGGTTCTGAGTTTGAGGTCCAAGGGTAAAAAAGGATTCCCCAAATCGGCCTCAAGAAAAGGAAATGATTACCTCATCTGTGCAAGAATTCAGGGCTCTGGTCCAGGTCTGGTACAATGTAGTGAATGACGCACACCGAGCAGCAGAGATGTTTGTCCTTTACCAAAGCCCATGGCTGTTGGTTGCATCAGGGCCTGGAAGAGCTCCAGAGACAAGCTGGTCTCTGGCACCCATCCACCAGTTCACCCCCTCCTCCCCCACAACCTGGGGCTTTTGGACTGAATGTCCAAGGAACCATCGTCATATTGGCTTGCAGTTTCCAGTTCTACAAATATGATCTCTCCCCAAGGCTTACCTTGATGTTGATTCCAAGTCTAGTATACGGGGCTGACGATGATGTAAGAGACAAATGCTTGAAAATTGAGCTTGGATCCTTTTTCAGGCTGTGGCAGAGCTGAGGGCAAGGCTTTGCTTTCAAAGTCTGAGGGACTAAGTGGATGGACGGTAAGAGAAGAAGTCAAACTAAATGCGTGCCTGATTCTCCAGGGTGTATCTCTGCAAACATGAATGCATGTGCTGCTGCAATGAACAGCATAGGCATCCTTTTCAAATCAGTGCTCAGTGCGAAATGTGGTTTCCCCAAATGCAAAATGTGGTCTAATAACCTTAGGTGCTGTGGTGAACCTTAGAAGGACCATAGTAACACACAAACAAGTTCACAAACTCTCACTATACATGAAATACTGAAACACTGAATTGTAAAATATTAAAATGCAATTCATTTAAATGATGTGAATGAAAATCATGGTACTGCATTTAAAATACTGAACTAGTTTTTACACTCTCCTTTTAAAATGATTATTATGGTGATAATTATAAAAGATGACCTTTTTGTGCACTTTATCATGCTCACTGAATCTTTGTCCAGATGTTGCTCTAACCCAGTGGTGCCCAGACTTTGACTTTCACAGACCAGTGATATTAAATATGAATAACAACAAGTATGACAAATACAATAATAAGAGGGGACTGACATAACATTTGGATCTTTAAAACTTTTATTTTTTAGCTGCATGAGTAGTAGCTAAACACATTCTCCTTATTAGCAAATGTTAAACAATATAGATAAAACAAAAGTCTGGTAACATCCATCTCTTCTCAATGTCTTCCACAAGGATAACCACTATTACCAGTTTGCTCTGCTTCCTTCCAGAACGTTCTCTATTTACATACATACATAGGTCCATATAAAAGTACATACTTTGGCTTATTTGGTTTACTTATATGGATAGCATCATACAGTATGCTTATTTTACTTAAGGTTATTTCTTCTCTTAATCTTGGTGATTTTCAAGGAAGCTCTATTTCATTCTTTTTTGACTGTTGTACCTAATTCCATAATGTGACTCTGTCATTGTTTATGTAACATTCCCCATTTCCTTTTCTACACCTCTTTTGGCCCATGTGTGGGTATGCTAGAGAAATAGCCTCACATACAGAGAAATAATACACCTTGCCATTTTTTCGAAGTAATGGTTTTCATAAAAGAAAATTTCCATTTATTCTCCCCATTACTTCCTAAAATACAAAAGGGCAATCACATACTTTAAGAGACAAAATTATAGAAAAAAAAAAAAAGAAGACAGTCTTCTCCCAGAAAGGATAAATGGAATCCTTACCATGTTTTCACTGCAGATCAGTGAAAATGTCATCAGGGAAGAGCTCTGGTGCCAGAATCTGATTTGGAGAACCACAGCTCAAGTCTAACTTCAAAATCAAATGGGCTTTTCTTCCAGCGGGTAACTAACAAAGAAAACAACAAAGATGACTGTTGTCGGTCTTGGTTCATGGTGGTGGATTCCCCTAGTTCGCTGAGCTGCTTGCCTGCTCCAACCCCTGGCTCCCATAGCAGGAACCAAAGCAGAGCAGGTCAGCTCCGGGCCAGGCTGTGTACACGTGCCTAGGAGGGCTCGCTCACACCAGTGAGCTCTGTCCCTCCTTGTTCTCAAGAACTGTTGGTCTTTCATGTGGAGCTGCTTCCCAAATTGTGTTTGGTGATACTGGGAGTATGGCAGATGAGTGTTGAGGTGGCAAACAGGTAAACCTTCTTCATTATATGTAATATAATACATATGTGTGTGTATATATACAACATATACAATATTCAATATATAAATTCTTCAATACATAATAACTATACTTTCAGTATTCATTACAGAAGTAAACCAAAAGACATTTATTTTCTGTTTGAATTAAAGTGCTTTCATTTCCCTTAGGTAAATACGCAGAAGTGGAATTACTGGATGATATGGTAGTTTTATTTTTAATTTTATAAATGCATGGACAAGGTAAATGTGGTATATACATATATATACACACAGTGGGATAGATACTACTTAGCAACAAAAAAGAATGAAATCTTGCCACTTGCAACAATATGAATAGACCTAGAGGGTATCGTGTTAAGTGAAATAGTCAAACAGAAAAAGACAAATACCACATGATTTCACTTACATGTGGAATGTAAAAAAATGAACAAATGAACAAACCAACAAGCAAACTAAAACCCAGAAACAGATTTATAAATACAGAGAACTGGTGGCTGCCACAGGAGGAGGGGTTGGGCAAAATAGGTGAAGGGGATTAAAAGGTACAACTTCCAGATATAAAGGAAATAAATTATGGGGATGAAAAGTACAGCATTGAGTATAGACAATAATATTGTAATAAGTTTATAAGATAGCAAATAGTAACTACACTTAAATGGTGAGCATTTCATAATATATATAAATGCTACATCACTATGTTGTATACCTGAAATGAATATAATATTATATATCAACTATACTTCAATTAAAATTTATTTAAAAGATACCAAACATCAAATGCAAGAGATGGATTGATTGAAAGAAAAATATTTGCACTCTGATCTGCATGTACTGACAGAAAAATCACCAGGATTACAGTAAAGTAAGTACTGTATCATCCTGAGCAAATTCCTCCACCTTCTTGAATCCCAGTCTCTTCATCTTTCAAATGATCCCAGTAGCACCTACTTCACTGAAATGTCAGGAAGATCAGATGATGCACAACTTAGGATGTGAATAATAAAGGTCCGACTCCCCTTTTTCTACTTTCTTCTCTTCTTCCCCCAGGATTTCCTTCTCTAGGTCCTAATCCAGAATCTCATTCTGAGTTTGGAAAGTTTGTTAATCAGAAACTGACTAAGGTGTTAACTATGAACGACTGTGAATCCTGAAAACTAGTTAATCTTCTATATAGAAATGAATGAATGAATCTCTTAGTGATGGAATTTCAGGCCCACATATGAAATTCTTAAAGAGGGAGGGATTCCTAGAGACAGAAAAAAGACTACCATGTGGATTGTTAGGCCTGAATGGGTTGCAGAAGAATAAGTTAATTGCCATGTTCCAGTGAACAGTTGTCACTGCCTGTGGGCCAAGGTATTTACTTTCTGACCTATAAGGCCAAGATAAAAATCTATTGATCTGAAAAGAAATGTTTGTTGGAAAAAAATGACATCAGCCATAGCTACTCATCGAGGAATAATCTAGGGGAAGTGACAGTTCCTGGTTCAGTTTTGAAACTGGGTTTTATTTGCCAGTGGAATGGAATGTACAAAGAAGCCCAGTTTGTAGGAATCTCCCATGGGCCTCCCCAACATCCTTTGTGAAAATATAAGTTATACTTACGTGCACCCAGAGTGAGAGTGTGGTGCATTGTCTGGAAACAATTAGAGGTATTTTTCCATCTTGATCTGACAACCTCAGACATACAGGCAATTGTGGGTGAGGGGTGTTGGGGGGTGGTTTGAAGTCTAAATTCTACTGTTAACTATATAAACAGTTAAAATATGAAAACTAATTAAGTCAAATATGCCTGGAGCCCTAAAGGGTGGGCACTAATGGAACAGGGAGGCTTGGAGAGGTTTGAAAGTCACCAGGAAGAAAAATCTTGGCGCTCTGGAAAATCTTCCGTCGCTGCTAATGATTTTCCAAGGCCCTTCGGGAAAATAGTGTGACAATGAAGGGCTGTTCAGGGAAACACCTCAACTTCCATCAGAGGCGGCCTGGTGACCCGGGCGACTGGTGAGCTTGGCAGGACCCTGGCGTCAGTGTGGCCCCTGGGCTGTGGCTCCTGACCAGTCTGCACAGGGGACTCAAGAGAGAGAGAAAATGTGCCAGTCTCTTGGAAACTGCATTTGGATTATCAAAAGGGGAAATTATGCTGGTTTACCTATTGGTTTGTTTTGAAAGAAGGAAGGCTGGAGTGAAAAGAAAAGGTTAGAGAGGGGCCAGAGCCACTTGAAGAGGCGCTCAGGGAAAGCACAGACAGAGATAGGCAAAACCTGAGCCTCCCTTGGCAAGTTTTGGAAAAAACCTTTTATACTTTGCTTTAAAACTGAAGTTCTAGGCAAATGTTCCCACCTTTCCCGTGTTTGTCAGCAGAGTCCAAATTGCCAAGTGCTGTAAAGGACAATTGTGTCAACAGCACAGTCTTTGCATCTGCCAAATGGTAATCAGCAAAAAGGCCTCCCATTTGTGTAGAGACCTAACACTTCGCAGTGTGTTTTCACAGCCATGGTTTAGTGGGTCCTTATGGTAAACTTGTGGGGGAAGCAGGAAGGTGACACCCTTTCAAAGATGGGAAAGTGGCTCAGAGAGGTGGAGGGTCTTGCGCAGCAACGCAGTAGTGAGTGGTGGAGTGAGGATTCACACCTGGTCCTCCCACTGCCCGCATCCCAGTCCCTACACTACGTGTGGCTTTTGCTCTGCCCTCCAGCAAAGAGCCTGGCTCCTCAGTGAGCTCATGGGGTGGGGAGGCGAGACTGTGACTAACACCCCCAGCCTGTTAGAATACAGCTGTCCATTTCCTTTCCTGCCTTCCTTCCCCTTCCCCTGCATGTGTGTGCAGCCTCCAGATGGAAATGAGCAAGAGGAACATGCCTTCAGCAGAGGAGCAGAAGTGGAATACAAAAGCTACGGTGTGAGATGTCTAAGGTCCTAAAGCTCACACACTGGGTAAAGCAGCAATGTTTCAATACAGCTTCAGAATCAACTTTACAAAATATAAAATTCAACAGAAAATCTGTGCCTGCAGATTCGTCAGTAGATTGGGTCAGGAATGAGAAGACATCTAATTTTTCTTCACTAAGCATCACTTAAGAACTTAAGAGTTCTTGAGAAAATGCCCTCTTTAAAAATACCAGCTGTTTTTTCAAGGCTAGAATAAATTTTGTCTTTATTCAATAAGAAGCAAAGTAGCATTAAAGTCTAGAAATACTAATAACATTGATCCTATGCTGAAGCAGCTAGTCTTCTCTGAGAGGATGGAGTTATATTTAGTCAGGAAGTTTCTTAATTTTGATAAGAGATAAACCTTAGAGTTGATAATATTTGTACCTATGATTCATGGATCAGATTTATAATAAAACTCTGTCTTTCCCATCCAGATTCCAGAGCTGGCAGCAGTGCCCAGGCAGAGGACTGTGGAAAGGTGGGCACTGGTGAGCACAGCAGGCTTCCAAGAAGAGAAAAGCAGGAGTACCCAAGGCCCGGTAGGAAAGTTCAGGTGATTAATAGGACCTTTTGGCCCCTTATTATCCTTTATGCAAAACTTGAATTAATGTATCTAACCCATTTCCTCATCTCCTCAACAAATTTGGAGGAGAAAAGAAATTGGCCTGCAGAAAAGAAGTGAGAGTTGAGAGTTTGACAGCAGTGTAAAACCCATAAGATACAGACTTAAGAATTAGAGATACTTGTCATTCTGGGGCTATTTATGTAGGACAACTACTACTACCCATCTCATCAGGCTTTGAAGTCGATGCATCCTACTATCCTATATAAAATTTGGACTTTTAACGCAGGAGTCAAATTAGATTCAGCACATATTACTTGAGAAGACAGAAAATGCATAGTGTAACTGAAAGATTATTTTTATCCAAGTTATAATAAATCTGTCTGATTCTATTGCCTTTTAAAAATTTTGGTAAAAACGCGTAACAAATTTTTCCATCATAACCACTTCTAAGTGTATAGTTCAGTAGTGGTAAGTGTATTCACACTGTTGTGAAACAGATCTTCAGAATTTTTTCATCTTGCAAAACTGAAAGGCCCTAATCCATTAACAATAACTCCCCTCTCCCCACTCCCTCGTGACCACCATTCTACTTTCTGTCTCTATGAATTTGCCTACTCTAGGCACCTCATATAAGAGGAATCACACAGCATTTGTCTAGCTAGTATATGATTAGCTATTTCACTTAGCAGAATATCCTGGAGGTTCATCCACACTGTGGCATGTGACAGGATTTCCTTCCTTTTTAAGGTTGAATGATATTCCACTGTATGTGTACTCCACATTTGTTTATCCATTCATCTGCTGATGGACACTTGGGTTGCTTCCACCTCTTGGCTATAGTAAATAATGCTGCAATGAATATGGGTGCACAAATATCTCTTTGAGACCCTGCTTTTATTGGTTTTTAAAGAGTTAACTCCTGTGCTATTCAGAAAACATGACTATCAAAAGTAACTTTGAAATGAGCCCTTTTGAATTTAAACATTTTACAGAGAGCTGAGTTTTCTTCATAATAAATACTTTTGTGCAGTACCCTAATAGCTGGGTTTATGATATTCCAGGACTGGAAATCTTTATCTCTGTCTCTGAGAAAGGATCTCATTTCCAGCCAGGCTCAACATATTTTGTTCCCATCCAAAGGTTTCTGGTGGGGGCCCCTCATACTCTCCTTTCCACGTGCCTCTGCTTCCACCCTATGACCTTCTTTTCCCTAAACAGATATAAATCCTGACCTGTCCCGGGCCCACCCCCATCCTTACCTGGAGGGGACCACCACCACTTGCCTCACCTCATTGGTTATCATTATTATGTCATCCAGATCAATCACTGGGTACGCGCACTGCTGTAACTGTCGCTTTGATCATTAGTTACACTTTGTTAGTCCTCATCAGATCCAGGCCCCACTAATCGGAAACATCGGCCTTCCAAAAGCAAGGCACCCTGGTGACCAGGGGCAATTACCGCATTGTTTGGTTTTTAAATTAGTCCCTTCTTGGTACTCTGATCACCATCAGGAGGCTGGTGGTTCAGAACCCAGGGGGTGCCTGCTTTTCATGCCCCCGGCAGCTGGCCTGGGTTCACACACACCCTGTTGGTGGTTCCAAGTTGAGGGTGACCCCAGCAGGTCTGAAAAACACAGTTTGTGACCTAGAGGCTCAGCCTCCTCATAAAAGGGTCTTGCCGGACATCGCATTTACACATCAGACAACTCCCATCACAGCTTACTTTCCTCCGTGAGGAGCCACGGGGCCTTACCATCAGGACAGGGCTGTATAACAGCAGAGCCCTGAGCTCAGGGCTCTCTTCTGGCCTATATCCAGGAGGGTGCCAGTGCCAGAACGGGGGGTGAAGTGGGTGGACACAGATTTCTCTTGGGTTCCCACATAACTGAGTAGGAGCTCCAGCTTCCAGCTTAAATGTTTCAGGCTGGCCCTACAGAAAGGTATGAGAGGGTCATTTGGCAGGAAATTAAAGATAAATCTATGCCATCTTCTAGCACATAATTTTCCTTAATGTCAGTGTTACCCAAACTTCAGGCATTTATGTACTACTTCCATGATTTTTGCTATGCATAATCTTATCTTTTACTTTAAAAGAATCATTTAAAAGGAAACTATTTCATACTTTGAATGGAAAAACTTCCTGCCTTCTTTTCAGAAATGATATCTAAAAATGTAATTTAACCCAACTAACCCCCAGCCCTAGGGGTTAGCCCACAGATGGATACCCTCATCCCCTACTAGTCTGGCTGTGGTCCTGACTTGGGCTCCTGAATAGTACAAATTGGATTTGTCAGATTACTACTGCTAATGAGCAATTGTAGCTTACTCCTGTTGAGGATTTCTATTACATAGGCATAGTAAGGCCTTGTCTTGGAGGGATGATCTGATGGTTCAGTGACATGCCACATGGAAGAGGATGGGAGCTTTGGGGGCAGGGCACTTTCTTAACTTCTGTTGGCTCATACTGGGCAGGGTCTTATCTTCTCATGCCTAATGGGTGCCCGCTAAAGCTGACGTCCATTCTTCTCATTCTTTCTCTGCATACTCTGCCCACTCTCTCCCAGGACATGCAACAACTCTCCTACTTTCAGTGTCCAGAAGAGTGGCATTCTCCTGTAACAAAGATTTTACTTCCAAGATGCTCACTTGGAGACCTTCAGAATATGTCCCAGCACAGCCCAAGTTTGCTTTCTTAGATTTCACTTGGTACAAATGTGGCCAAAATAAAAGCATGCTTAAGCTACCTTTGGTGATCTCTTGGGTGGAGGGATTTAAGTTTCTAAGAGAAAATCTCATAGGAAGTATGTAAGAAGAAATGCATGTAGCTCCTACTTTTCCCTCTTCCCTCTCAGAAGCTGCAGTTACCAGGAGGGACATAGCTCAAGCATGCCCTTTGATTTAAGGTAAAAAGGGGATATTTTGGCTTTCAGTAAGGCAGAATATATCTTAATGTAGTAATTGAATTTAGTTCTATTTAGTCTAGTTTGATGGGGGTAGATCCAGAGTTGGGAGGGAAGAATTGACATCGTTTAATACTTAACAGATGGATAGAAAACAAAAAGGTTAGGAGATAAGAAAGTCAGAAGGTTACCAGCTGCTGTGGGTATACAGTAAAATAGAATTTATTTGAACAGTTAAGCTTATGTTTATTAATACATGTCTCTCTATTATGTTTTAGATTTACAAATTATTCAGAGGAGAGCTTTCTTTTTGGCTAAATCATGAGTGGATTTCTGTGTTCTAAAAAGGCATCTTTGTGTTTCATGTGAGCTGTACCTTAAGCAAGATACTTCTACTCTTGCATGGTAGAGAATTGGTAGTAGTAATTTTTTGGCGTGTTAAGTCTATGAAGCAGGAGTCATTGCTTCCTATTCTTAAATTTGGGTGTCTGAGGATCATTAAATGGTAGGAGGGTAGTAAACCCCTCCACATGTGCATCACATGCCATGTCACAGGACATGACTTTCCACTTCCAAGAGAGCATATCAGGCAAAGGCCACCTCTACCCTTTGATAAGGGTAAGTTCACCACTGAAAGTGGAGGGAATGACTCCACTGAAAGCTTCCTAATAGAAGCTTCTTGGCACTAATTCTTCTTGCATTTGTCTTAGATCTAATGTGGTGTCAGTCAATGTGACTGCAGGCATTGAGGGATGATGTGAGCCTGACAAGAGCATTTGGAACCTTCACAGAGTCTGAGGCAGTGACTTCCTCAGGGATGTTGGTCAGTGCTTAACCTAGTCTCCCCAACTTCCTGGTGGAGAATCAGTTGCTTAACTATTTAGCAGGGGTCCTTTAAAAAGCAGTGAATTAGTTATTGCCTGAAAATCAGTTTGAAAATATACTATTATGGTTAAATTGAGGAAGGTTACTTTTATGCACACCTTCTGTGCATAAAAACCATTAGATGGTTCTTTGGGTCAAAAGGACAATGCATTAGGATAAATAAGTAGGAAATAAGAGAAGTTATCGAATAGAAAGTAGAACACTTGACAGGAACTCCACGTGTGGTAGGATGGATTGGTTCTAGGGTTACATGGGATTGCCAAAGGAAAATAGATTTGAGGGAAGAGCAGTAGGGGGGGGGTGATTTCCTTCCTTTTTAAGGTTGAATGATATTCCACTGTATGTGTACTCCACATTTGTTTATCCATTCATCTGCTGATGGACACTTGGGTTGCTTCCACCTCTTGGCTATAGTAAATAATGCTGCAATGAATATGGGTGCACAAATATCTCTTTGAGACCCTGCTTTTATTGGTTTTTAAAGAGTTAACTCCTGTGCTATTCAGAAAACATGACTATCAAAAGTAACTTTGAAATGAGCCCTTTTGAATTTAAACATTTTACAGAGAGCTGAGTTTTCTTCATAATAAATACTTTTGTGCAGTACCCTAATAGCTGGGTTTATGATATTCCAGGACTGGAAATCTTTATCTCTGTCTCTGAGAAAGGATCTCATTTCCAGCCAGGCTCAACATATTTTGTTCCCATCCAAAGGTTTCTGGTGGGGGCCCCTCATACTCTCCTTTCCACGTGCCTCTGCTTCCACCCTATGACCTTCTTTTCCCTAAACAGATATAAATCCTGACCTGTCCCGGGCCCACCCCCATCCTTACCTGGAGGGGACCACCACCACTTGCCTCACCTCATTGGTTATCATTATTATGTCATCCAGATCAATCACTGGGTACGCGCACTGCTGTAACTGTCGCTTTGATCATTAGTTACACTTTGTTAGTCCTCATCAGATCCAGGCCCCACTAATCGGAAACATCGGCCTTCCAAAAGCAAGGCACCCTGGTGACCAGGGGCAATTACCGCATTGTTTGGTTTTTAAATTAGTCCCTTCTTGGTACTCTGATCACCATCAGGAGGCTGGTGGTTCAGAACCCAGGGGGTGCCTGCTTTTCATGCCCCCGGCAGCTGGCCTGGGTTCACACACACCCTGTTGGTGGTTCCAAGTTGAGGGTGACCCCAGCAGGTC